TCATTGACACAGTGGTTTTAATTGAGGGATGACGTTGCCCTTTAGCCTCCAGGATACATTTGGCCATTTCTAGAGGTATTTTTGTTTATCACAACTTGGTTGGGGGCTGCGGGCAGGTGTGCTTTGGAAGTAGAAGCCAAGGATGCAATGAAATGGAAATATTTCCAAGAGGTTGCTAATATAACTCAGTATTTGCATACCCATACTACATGTAAAAAATCAATTTATTGTACCACAGTTTAACACATTTAGTGAAAGAAGCAAGCTGCAAAGCAATTAATATGATACAATGCCATTATGCAGAAAGACACACACACACACACACACACACACACACACACACACACACGCCTATACACAATCCAATAGTCAGATTTGTGAGTGAATGTGCACATGTATGCAAAGAAAAACATCTAGCTAGATGAGCTGCAAACTGTTGACAGTAGATAGTCTAGAGAAGAGCAGAGGCTGGGGAAATGGAATAGAGAAAGATAACTTTGACTTTTACTTTTTACTTATGCTTTTGTACTTTAAAAATTGTAATGAAAGTACTTTTTTTTTTTTACTAATTGAGCATTTTTTCAGACACTTAAAATTAAAGACATAGAAAATTAAAGCAATTTCTAAAAAGAAAAGGTTATCTGGGAATATCGTAAAAGATAAATTGCAATAGAGCAGAGAGCCTGAAGAAAGGGAAACCAGTTACAAGAACGCTACAATAAAGAAATGATATGGGCCTTCGCTAACATTGTGTCAGTGGTAACAGGAAGAGTAAGATTTAAGAGGTGAAGTCAGCAAAACCTGGTAGTAGCAATACCACCTAAAGACTGAGGCAGACTGAGGCAGACTGAGGCAGAAAGAAGAATTAAAGATAATTTCTTAAAGATAATTCCTAGGATTCTGACTTATGTGACTTAGTGGTTAGAGGAATTGTTTGGGAATGAGTAATGTGTTCGGTTTTGAACATCTTTGGTTTGAGGTACCTGTAGAATATCAGAGTTGAGATGAACCACAGGTAGTTGGAAGGCTAGAGCTGAGAAGAAAGATATGCCCTAAAGACAGGTTTCAAAGTTATCATCATAACATGTAATTGCTGAAAACACCAAATTAAAAATCTCTCAGAGAGATTTATAAAGGGATGAGTAAAATAAGGCAGAGCCTAAGGAGCGCCAATAGAAAAGAAATTCAGGAAGAACAGAAGACTCACAAAGAGTGGCCAGAATTTTAGAAGTAAATCTGTGGATGGTGGTATTATCAGAAGGCAAGGAAGAAAAGTTTCAAGAAGAAACAAGCAGTCAACAGTTTTAAATGTTGCAGCGAAGTCAGTAACATAAAAAATGAAAAGTTTAAGTCATTTTATTAACAAGAAGGACACAGGTAACCTAGTAAGAGGAGTTCAAGAGTATTGGTGGGGACAGAAATCAGATTATAGTAAACTTAGAAATCAATAGATAGTAAAGTAGGAACAGTAAACATGGATTACTCTTTTAAGAAACTGACTATGATCATGAAAAATTTTACTTACAGCATGATCACAATATGTCAAAAAAACAGAAGAGTCAAATGCACTATGAATGTTCAAAACTTGTTTTCTTTGAGGGATGGGTGTTTTTTTCTTTCTACTTTTCTGAATTTTCCATGTTTTACAAAATGCCATGTACAAGTTTTATTATCAGAAGAGTTGCTTCATAAATATCTGCTTAAAAAAAAAACTTGACTTGGAAAGGAAAGAGAGAAGAAATGACAGACAGAGTTAAACATAAACTCAAGAGATTTTTTTTTAATAGAGAAGAATTCAGAATATTTATAAAAGAGAAGAGCTAAGAAAGGGAAAGTGACTGAAGATATATTCATGATACAAGATAATTAACAAAGCATAGCTCTAGAATAAAAGAAGGCAAGAGAATCCAGAATATAGATCCAAAGAGATAGCTTGTCCTCTGAGATAGTAAGAATAGGAATTAATGACCAAAAAAAAAAAAAAAAAAGTAAATGGTTAAGGCAGTTATTGTGTGATGACTTCTACTTTCCTTAGGAAAGGTGAAGATAAGGTCAGGGTGAAACAAAGTTTAAGGAGTGTTTAAAGATTTAGAATAGCTAGTTGGGGTACTGAAGAGGAAGCTGACAAGGAACAAGAAAGGAAAATGCTAAGCAGCACTGGGAACACGGGTGTGATCAGAAACCTTAAGTACGAATGTGGCATTAATCTATACTACTAAAGTGTTTTCTTTAATAATGCTGGCTTATTTGGGAACCCGAAAAGGAGAAAGAGCTATTCCAGGGCTGAGAATTCTCAGGGATACTATGGCAGAAGGTTAAGAACAGGTGCAGAACATCAAAGCTGCAGCCTGAACTGAAGAGTCAGAAGTTGGTAACCTTCTTCCATGTTTTGTGAATTCCCTATGCATCCTCTATCACAAATTGTTACTTCATAATTATCTGCTTATCAGACTCTCTTATTTAGATTGTCTGAAATTTGAGTGCTATGTCTTGTTCACAGCTGATTCTTTGATATTTAGCACTTAAACAATAGCTAACATCTAACAGGTGCTCAATAAATATTTGATTAATTGACTAACTCATTCAAATCACATTTACCGAGAGACTACCAGATATCAGCCTCTGTGTCAAATGCTGTTCATATAGTAATAAACAAAATAGGCATGCCACCTCTCTCATGAAGCTTATGAAACAGTGAAGAATCTCTAGACAATAAGAAAACATAATTACAAATTGTTTTGTACTGAGAAGGAAACAAACAGAATGTAAGGATAGAGAAAAACAGAAAAGTAGAGAATTATTTTTGACAGGTAGTCAGGGCAATCTTTTCCAAGGAGGCGACATTTAAACTAAAATCTGAAGGCTGAGAAGGAACAACATTGTAAAGAAAAAAGGGAAGACCACTCAGGCACAGGAAAAACTATATACAAAAGACCTGAGGTAGGAAAGAGCCCAGCATAGATCAGGATATGTAAATGACAATGTAGAATAAAGCATGACAATATACCCTGAAGCCAACCTTATAGATCCAAACTAACAATCGCAAAAGAGTTGCAATTCACTCCTGAAAACCTCAGCCCAAACCCTTTCTATTTCTTTGCCTCCTTATTCTTCATGTCTTTCATATAACCTAATGCTGCTAACTATATGAGAATACACTAAACTTTAGTTAAGTTATGGAGAAATCTTAGTAGCCCAGGTGTTGTACCATTTTTTTGAAAAACTATAGATCTTAACTCAATACTCCCAAACCATAGGCAACATAAACCTAACAAGCTCCAGTCCAAACTTGACTTAAAGTTAATCTTTTGGTTATCCTATCTTATGCTCTACCAGAAGATCTTCATTACCCCTACCCCACAGAAACTGCCCATTTCCTCCCCCCTCACACCATAAAAGACAGTGGCCATCAGAAAGAAACCTTTTATAAAATAACATACATATAAAATAATACTTTTCTTTTTTTTTTGAGTTGGAGTCTCACTCTGTCGCCCAGACTGGAGTGCAGTGGCCGCTCCCGGCCACCGCAGCCTCGACCTGCTGGACTCCGGTGATCCTTCTGCCTCAGCCTTCCAAGTAGCCGGAATTACAGGCATGCGCTACCACGCCCGGCTGATTTCTTGATTTATTGTAGAGATGAGGTCTTGCTGCCCAGGCGGGTCTCGAACCCGCGGGCTCAGGCAATCCGCTCACCTCAGCCTCCCAAAGGCACGGGATTACAGGCTGAGCCACCGAGCCCGGCTAATATTACTTTTCAAATAGGCAACACATGCTCCCAACAATACGCTAGTTTCAGTGACAGACCTAAAATAATCTTAGATCAGGATAGGTTTTGCACACTGTGAAATAAAACAAATCTGCTTCTTGATCAGCTCTACTGATTCCAGTCTAAAAGTACCCATTATATTGTCTAAATTCCACTGCTTATGCCCTATAGTCTGTTCTACCTGTCGTCTGCTAGAAGCTTCTTTCTGATGCCTGGATGGAAGATGCCGATGGCTATCCGGAAGCAAATTCTCTGGCCATCTTTCAGTTGTCCCAACAGATGGCTGTTGCCTAAAGTATAAACTCTAAAAGATACAAAAGCATTTACCAAATTGTATGAGCAGTGAGATAAAAGTAGTGATAATACTGTAGGCTTCAGTGATAGCCCTTAAGTAATCTAAATAGGTCAGAATAGTCTGAGCTACTATGGCATAAAAGAAGACACTGTTCTTTTTTGTCATCATTATGGATATTAATTCTACCTGCAAAGGAATCTTAAATTTCATCTATAAAACAAGAATGGGGGAAAGAGGAGGAAAACAACAATAATAATAATAATATATATCTCCCATGGTTATTTTGAGAATTAAATGAGATCATGCATACAAAATCCTAAAACCATTTTGGTCATGTAAAGTGCTCAATAAATATAAGATGTTATACTACTGTGCTAATATTAATAAAAGATAACACTATCACCATCTTCTTTATTGGTAATAGCTCTGACAAGCCCAGCCCAAACTCTAACTAATTTACTTTCTGCTCCTTACTCTTTACTATACTCCACTCTACCTGCTCTCTGGTAGAGCCTGGATCCTGGATTTCATGTAAAACATATTCATGGTGCTCTGGAAATACCTCCTCTCTCCATCTCTCATCTGTCATATCAAGTGAGTCCTGTTCATAGTTTCTGTGCTAAAAGACAACATAAACACTGTACATAAATTATCTAAATAAGAGCATTGTGTCTGCGGCAATAGTAAAACCTTCAATGATAAGGCATGAAGTAGCTCTAGTAGTCATAACTATGTTATTCATCACAGAACAAGAGAATATTATAATCTTTATCCATTATTACCGACCTTAACACTAAAGCCCTGAAGCAGTTACTATATTGCCCTGTCAATCTTGAGCCAAAAACCTCAGCAATTTATTCTCTGCTATCTACTCTTACTATAGTCTGCTCTACTTATTAACTGGGAGAGGCTAGATCTTGAACACTAGGTAAAACATACCAACGGCAATCCAGAAGCAACTCTTGCAATCTCCCACTTCTCAAAAGATGAGGGTTGTTTGATACACTTATTCTAAAAGAACGACAAAATACAGAACTGATTGTCTAAGGAGAAATGACGAGCTAGTGGCAATATTACAGACTTCAGTGACAAACAGAGAGTAAGGATACTTGGCAAGGATAATAGAACACAGTTAATGGTGTGTGTGTGTGTGTGTATGTGTGTGTGTGCGCGTATGCAACATAAAAATTTCCAAACATGCATCAAAGTAGAAAACATAGCATAATGAATCCCAAGATACCCATCACCCACATTCAACAATTAGCAATGTTTTGCTTTCATCCATCTTCTCCAACTTTTTTCCTGAAGTATTTTAAAGCAAATACCAGATTATTCTGGTACACTTTAAAATAACTGAAGACATTATACGCTTAGCTTAACTCTGAGGCCTTAGTCCGCTGTATCCCTCAAATAAGCTAGTTTGACAAGCTTCAGCCCCAGTTGTATGTAATTTAGTCTTGTTCCTCTTTTAGAAAGTACATAGTCCTTCTACTATATTCTTCTCTACATATTCTCTAGAGGTGGTTTGGTCCTGGATTTTGGGTGTAACATATTCATGATAACCCAGAGGAAATTCTTCTTTCACTCTCCCTTCTCTCATAAAAGATAAGGGTTGCTTGAGAAACACATTCTAAAGGAACAACAACAGAAAAGGACAATATGCTAATCATAATATTGCAAGCTTCAGTGAGATCCAGAGATATGAAACCACGTAAAAATATTCTGATACACTTTGATATAAGGGAGGATGTTACACTTTTAACCTAACTCTGTAAACCTTAATTCTTAATCACAAGAGATGGACAGAATAGTCTGAAAAACTCACCAAATCTTAAGTAATTTAGAATCTGCTATTTCTTCCTGCATTGTTCATGGAGGGGCAATATGCTTGTGGTGCTACTGTGGTATTCAGCAAGAGTTGAAGAATAATATTGGTAAATTAAAATAATCTACCTGAAAAATCAACAAAACACATCCTGGGAAGAAAATGCTGGGAGAGACTGACTAAATGGGGGCTCATGAGCAAGTGGCCAGGGCCCTACTGGTACAGCAGCTGGTGCTGCAGCTTCTCTGTTTGGCCCTGGCTCTCCCCAGGTCACAGAAGCCAAGCACCATTTTTTTTTTAATGAACAAAAGTTTTCCTGAGAAGAAGCAGCAGGGAGAGACTACCGGCTCCAGGTTCTGCCTCACCAGTGCAGCAGGAGAGACTGCCGGCTCCAGACTTTGCCTCACCATTTCAGTGCCAGGCCAGACACTGGCAGCAGGGGCTACAGAGGGAGCCCAGAGGCAGAATCCCACTGAAGAGGACAAGAGAGGCACCCTTCCATCATCTTGAAGGCGGGGCAGGAAAGTGTTCCAACTTGCTCACCATGGAGCAACAGACCCAATCTCTGTGACTGGCAGATCAACTACTCAGGGGTTGATTGTGACCCAGAGGGAATATCCTGAAAGCACAAACTTCGGCGGGACCTACCCTGATCCAGGCATGGGACAAAAGGTGTGGCCAGAAAAGTAAGAGGAAGAACTCCAAAGAGATCAGTGCTCCCCATCCCCTACCTTATTCAACTTTCAAAACTATACGAGACAACAAAGCTTTCCAACCACAGTCCTGTTTCAAAACAGAACAAATCCAGAGCCTGAATCAGGGAAGAATAGAGGGCTGAGCAAACAACAGAAGGGAAAGCTTCTCCCACTGACACTGAATAACAGAACTAAAGAGAAAAGCAAGAGCTCTGTCACAAATAAGGAAAAACCAATGGAAGACCACAGGTGATTTCAAGTGTAACAAAGAAAAAACTCCTGAAAAAAATCAGACCTCTGAGCCCAAACAATGGAAGTCGCCAACGACTGGCCCCAGAATATGACAGGGATTAGGGAATGGATGGAAAGAGTGAATAAGACTCAAGAAAGACAAAATGCAACACTGAAAGAACTTGTAACAAAATTTTGGGAATAAAAAATTTCATCCAGGAAATAAATAACAAGCTGACAAGCATGGAAAGCAGAATCAATCAAGCTGAAGAAAGAACTCAGAACTTGAAGACCAGAACACGTAATTAACCTGATCTGTAGAAAACATAGAAAGAAAACTCAGAAAGAAAAAACAAGGCCTACAAGAGATCTGCAATTATATCAGGAGACTGAAGCTACGCCTGGCTGGTATCCCAGAAGAAGAAAGGGAAACGGAGAACACCTTGGAGCAAGTATTCCAGGAGGTAAACCAAGAAAATTTCCCCTATCTCACCAGAGATATGACCAGCCAACACACAGGAGATACAGAGAACTACCATAAGAGATCAACCCCTAGACACATAGTAATTCACCCACATAAAAGTAAGCACAAAAGAAAAAATCTTAAAGGCAGCAAGAGAGAAAGGTCAGATTACCTACCAGGGAAAACCAATCAGAATAGCAGCAGACCGACTGGCAGAAACACTATAAGCAAGAAGGGACTAGAGTCCAATATTCAAAGTCCTGAAAGATAAAAAATTTCAACTAAGAATTTCCTACCCAGCCAAGCTCAGCTTCATCAGTGATGGAGAATTAAAAACCTTCCCAATCCCTAAGAGATTATGCAGCTTCCAGACTAGTTTTACAGGAGAAAGTATTAAGCACAGAAGAAAGAAAAAACAGAATGACCACACACTTCTCAAGAGAACAGCAAAGCACAGAAGCAACAGAGAATACAGCGCAGCAACAAACTTGAAAACACACACATACATCAAAGCCAAAAGAAAACAAGTAAACAAAGAAAAACCTTCATGAGAACCTCACAATAGGGATAAACAATCACATTTCGATAATCAGCATGAATGTAAATGGACTAAATGCACCACTGAAAAGACAGAGAAAGGCAAACTAGTTAAGAGACCATGAACCAATTGTTTGCTGCATCCAGGAAACTCATCTCACCACAAGTGATGCACACAGTCTCAAAGTTAAAAGATGGAAAACGAGTTTTCAGGCAAATGGATCACAAAAGAAGGCAGGAGTCACGATCTTAATATCAGACAAAACAACCTTTAAGCTATCAACAATTTAAAAAGATAGAAAAAGATACTACATAATGATAAAAGGTTGAATCCATCAACAACAAATATCCATCCTAAACATATATGCACCCAATACAGGAGCACAAGAATTTATAAAGAAACTACTAAATAAACTAAAAAAAGATATTGATTCCAACACTATGATACCAGGTGACTTGAATACCCCACTGAGAGCCCTAGACAGATCATCAAGGCAAAAAATCAACAAGGAGATCCAGAACCTAAACTTGACACTTGACCAAATGGACTTAATAGGTACCTACCATTTATTTCACCCAACAACCACAAAATATACATTCTACTCATCACCACATGGAACGTACTCTAAGACTGATCCCATCCTTGGTCATAAATCAGTATAAATAAATTTCATAAGGCTGAAATACTGCCATGTACCTTCTCAGGTCACAGTGGAATATAAATAAATATCAACACCAAAAAATTTCCCCAAAGCCCACAAACACATGGACACTAAACAGAATGATGCTGAACAACTACTGGGTCAACACTGAAATCAAAGTAGAAATTAAAAGATTCCTGGAAACAAATGAAAATGAAGAAACATCTTACCAAAACCTCTGAGATGCCATGAAAACAGTTCTAAGATGGGAATTTATATTTCTACAAGCACATATTAAGAAAACAGAAAGATCACAAGTTGAGAGCCTAACAAATCACCTAAGGGAGCTAGAAAGAGAAGACCACCAAAACCCTATCTTTAGCAGAAGAATCCAAATCATCAAAATAAGAGTCCAAATATGGGATATAGATGACAAAAATATCATAGAAAACATCAACAAAACAAAAAGCTAGTTCTTTGAATGAATAATCAAGATTGATGGACCCCTTAGCCAGAATGACCAAGAAAAAGAGAGAAAAAGCCCAAATAGGTGCAATCAGAAATACAAAAGATCAAATCACAACTGACCCTAAAGAAATACAAAAGATTATCAGAGATTACTATGTATACCTATATGGAAACAAACCTGATAACCTAAATGAAATGGAGGACTTTCTAATATCACACAACCTCCCAAGGTTGAAACAAGAAGGCATTGAGACACTAAATAGACCAATAACAACCCAGGAAATTGACTCTATCATACAAATACTACCTACAAAAAAAAGCCCTGGACCAGATGGCTTTCCAGCAGAATTCTACAAAACGTACAAGGAGGAGTTGATACCAATCCTATTGAAAGTATTCCAGGCAACTAAAAAAGATGGAATTCTCCCCAAATCATTTTACGAATCTAACATCACACTTATACCCAAACCGGGTAAAGATCCAACAAAAAAAGAGAACTACAGGCCAATATCCCTTATGAACATAGCTGCAAAAATCCTCAACAAGATTCTAGCAAATCAGATCCAAAAACACATCTCAAAAATCATCCACCATGACCAAGTAAGCTTCATCCCCCAGATGTAGGGCTGGTTCAACATTTGCAAGACCATAAATGTAATGAAATTACCTCAACAGATATAAAAACAAGAACCACATGATTATATCATTAGATGTAGAAAAAACTTTTGATAAAATCCAGCATCCTTTCTTGATAAAAACCCTCAAACACCTAGGTATAGAAGGAACATACCTCAAAATAGTAAGTGCCAGCCGGGCTCGGTGGCTCAGCCTGTAATCCCGTGCTTTGGGAGGCTGAGGTGAGTAAAATTCCCTGAGCCTGCAGGTTCGAGACCCGCCTGGGCAAGTTGGTGAGACCTCATCTCTACAATAAATCAAAAAAATTAGCCAGGCGTGTAGTTCTGGCTACTTGGAAAGCTGAGGCAGAAAGATTGCTGGAGCCCAGCAAGTCGAGGTGACAGTCTGGGTGACAGAGTGAGACTCCAACTCAAAAAAAAAAATAGTAAGTACCATCTATGATAAACCCACCGCTAACATACTGCTAAATGGACACAAACTGGAAACCTTTCCCCTGAAAACTGGAACAAGACAAGGCTGCCCACTCTTACCCCTTTTGTTCAACACTCTGTTGGAAGTCCTAGTTAGGGCAATTAGACAAGAGAAGGAAATGAGGGGTATCCAAATAGGAAAAGAGGAAGTCAAGTTATCCCTCTTTGCTGACGATATGATCCTATACCTTGAAAATCCAAGAGAATCTGTCAAAAACTTGCTTGCACTGATAAAGGACTTTGGCAAAGTCACAGGGTACAAAATAAACGTGAAAGCAGGTTTATACACCAACAACAAGCAGGCAGAGAACAAAATAAAAAGTACAATCCCATTCAAAATAGCCACACAAAAAATTAAATACCTCAGCATCTTCCTAATCAGAGAAGTGAAAGACCTTTACAATGAGAACTCCAAAATAATGCTCAAAGAAATCCAAAAAAAACCAAACAAATGGAAAGATATTCCATGCTCATGGATAGGAACAATCAACATTGTTAAGATGTCCATCCTACCAAAGGTAATCTCAGGTTCAATGCAATACTCTTTAAATTACCAACATAATTCTTCTCAGACCTGGAAATGACAATACAGATATTCACATGGAAACATAAATGACCACGAATAGCCAAAACAATCCTTAGCCAAAGAAACAAAGCAGAAGGTATCACACTTCCAGACTTCAAACCTTACTATAAGGTTACAGTAATCAAAACAGCCTGGTATTAGTACAAAACAGGCATACAGAACAATGAAATAGGATAGAGATTCTGGAAGCAAATCCTCAATTTCTCAACCAACTCATCTTTGACAAAGCCTCCAACAACAACCACTGGGGAAAGGAGAATCTATCTAGTAAATGGTGCTGGGAAAACTGGTTGATCACACATGCAGAAGACTGAAACAAGACCCATACCTATCACCAGACACAAGGATTAACTCTAAGTGGATCAAAGATCTAAACGTAAAACATCAAACTTTAAGAATCTTAGAAAATGCAGGAGACACTCTTATGGAAATTGGAACTGGCAACTAATTCCTGATCAAAACCCTAAGTGCCCATACCATAAGAAATAAAACAGACAAGTGGGACCTCATCACATTGACAAGCTTCTGAAAAGCAAAAGAAACCATCAAAAGACCAGGGAGGCAGCCCACAGAATGGGAAAAAATATTTGTCAACTGTATATCAGACAAAGGTCGAACATCTAGGATCTACCAGTAACTCAAACATGCAGAGAAGAAAAAAACAAACAGCCCCATCAAAAAGTGGGCAAAAGACATGAATAGACACTTCTCAAAAGAAGATATATGGGCAGCCAATAGACACATGAAAAGTGCTCAGCCTCATTATCATCAGAGAAATGCAAATGAAAACCACACTGAGACACCACCTAACCCCAGTAAGGATGGCCATCATTAATAAAACAAACAACAACAGATGCTGGTGAGGATGTGGAAAAAAAGGAACACTTCTACACTGCTTGTGGGAATGCAAACTAGTGTAACCTCTTTGGAAGACAGTGTGGCAATTTCTGAAAGTACTAGAAATTGACCTTCCATATGACCCAGCAATCCCCCTATTGGGACTATATCCAGAGAAACTCAAATCATTCTACAAAAAAAGATACCTGCACACGCATGTTTGTTGCAGCTCTATTCACAATAGCAAAAACATGGAACCAACCATGCTGCCCAGCGAAGCTGGACTGGATTAAAAAAATGTGGTACATATACACAATGGAATATTATGCAGCCATAAAGTAGAACAAACAAATGGACTTCGCTGCAACCTGGATGGATTTAGAGTCTATCATTTTCAGTGACCTATCACAGAAACAAAGAACAGAGTACCATGTTTTTGCTCATAAGTGGACCTTGAACAATTATCATACTACTATAAGAAAGGGATTGGCAGTAGTGGGAAAACTGCCGGGGGCAGGGGGGAGGATTGGTAGTTGAGAGAAACTGCTAGGGAGGGAGGGGTACACCTCATCAACAAGGGTACCTGCATAATGAACATTTATATACCTAACTCCGAACTGTACCCCACATCTCTAAAAAAAAAGTCTACCTGATTCTAGAATAAGATATAAATGGGATGCAACAGCCTTCAGAACTGATATGACTGATATAGACCACTAGACTGATATAGATCACTAGACCAGGATCTTTTGTATCACTAAGTACAAGGTGGAACAGAAAAAAAAGGAGACTAGTAGGAACTGAATTGTTTAACTCTAAGCCCATCATTCCTAGAGCAAGGCCTCTGCTCTAACAGGACTTAGAACTATTTTCCCATGAATGTGGGAAGGAATGAAAGATACTCCATTCTTGTGGTAGCTCCAAAGTCCCTCATTCTATATTTTAAATTATCAGTTATTATTACTGTTATATCAGGTGCAGTGGCTCATGCCTTTAATCCCAGTATTTTAGGAGGCTGAGGCGACATGATTGCCTGAGTCCAAGGTTCAAGACCAGCCTGGGCAACTTATAATAAATGCAAAAATTAGCTGGGCATGGTTGCACACACCTGTAGTTAAAGCAACCTGGAAAGCTGAGGTGGAGGGATGGCTTGAGCCCTGCAAGTTGAGGCTGTGAGAGTGACACTGCACTCCAGTCTGGGTGACAATGAAACCCCAATTCAAAAAAAAAAAAAATTATCAGTTGTTACAAATTTATAAAACCCAGGTACTTTTTTCCTGTTTCTTTATCTCTTTCTTATTCTGCTATACCTGATCTCTGATGAAGTCCTTGTCCTGGGGTTTAGGAGGCAGATACTGATCATCCACCAGAGAAAAGTTTTCTCTCTCTTTCTCATCTGTCACATCAGAATATGGCTCCTTAAAGTGTACTTTCTAAAAGAGAAAAAAATACAAACCATAAATTGTCTAGCAGGAAAAAAATGATAAGAATAATATTCTAGGCTTTATTGACAGCCAATAGTAATTTTTAAAATTCAGGATTTGAATTTTTATTATGGAATAAAACAGAAAACCATACTTTTTGTCTGTTCTAAAGTTTAGCTGAGAACAACTTTTGCAAGCCCAAACTAAACACTTAACAATTCAGTTCCTGCTGGTCTTTGCACTTTTTCTATTCTACCTTGCCCCTGGTAGAAGCCTGATGATGCCTGCATGGAAGATCCTGATAGACATCCAGAGGAAGCGCCTCTCTTCCTTTCCTACCTATCAAAATTGACGCTGGCTGCTTCAAATTTGCTTTCTGAAACAAACAAACAAGATATTAATTGTTCAGTTAAGACTGATACGTTAACTAAGACTTTAGGCTTTAGTGAAAATTCTGGAGTTAAGTGAAGTCAGTTTAATTGGGCACCTTACGAAATAAAACCAAAAAAAAAAAAAAATACTCTATTCCATGAAAGTCCAAGCATAACTCTAAGTAATTTACTTCCGGTTGATCTTTTTCTTCTTCCTTTTGGTTTAACTGATCTCCAGTGGAGGGTTGGCCTTGGGATCTGTCTGAAAGATACTGCTGGGTACTTGTGGACCATTCCTTTTTCCATCTTTCAGCTGTCAAAGCAGATGCTGGCTGCAAGAAACATTTTTCCTAATGAATATTAAAAATTAAAAAGTAAATTGTTCATAAAGTCTGGGTAAAGTGTTGATTTTTTAAAAAAATCAAATAAGAGAAAAAAGTAAATTATTCAGACAGGAGCAATATTCTGCTGATAACACTTTAACACTTAGTACGAACCCTGAAGTTTTGAGAAATTAATCAGAAACTATTTTTTCCAACTATGGATCTCCATATTAGATGCTATAAACATACATACTTCATTTTATTGCACTTTGCAGATATTGCATTTATTGTTTACAAATTGAAGGCTTATAGAATCCTATATCAAGCAAGTAAATAGGTACCATTTTTCCAACATGTGCTCACTTCATGTTTCTATGTCATATATTGGTAATTTTCATAAGGTTTCAGATTTTTCTATTATCATATCTGTTATGGTAATCTGTGATCAGTGATCTTTGGTGTTACTATTCTAATTGTTTTGGTTTTGGGGGTGCCACAAACCATGCTCATATAATACAGCAAGCTTAGTGGATAAACATGAATGCTCTGACTGCTCCACCACCTAGCCATCTCCTGCCTACCCTGGGTCTCCCATTCCCTGAGATACAACAATATTAAAATTAGACCAAATAATAATCCTGCAATGGCATATAAGTATTCAAGTGAAAGGAACCACATGTCTCTCACTTTAAATCAAAAGCCAGAAATGGCTAGATGCAGTGGTTCATGCCCATAATCTCAGCACATGATCACTTTAGTCTAGGAGTTCAAGACCAGCCTGGGTAACATAGTGAGAAACTGTCTTTACAAAAATAAAAAAATTAGTCAGACATGGTGGTATGCACCTGTAGTCACAGCTACTTGGAAGGCTGAGATGGAAGGATCACCTAAGCCCAGGAGGTTGCGGTTGTGGTGAGCCATGATCGTGTCACTGCATGCCAGATTGGGGGAGAGGGCAAGACCCTATCTCAAAAAAAGGGGGTAAAAAAGGAAAAAAAAAACTACAACTGATTATGCTTAGTAAGGTAGGCCTATCAAAAGCCAAGATGGGCTGAAAGCTAGGCCTCTTGTACTAAACAGTTAGCCAAGTTATGAATGCAAGGAAAAAGTTTTTGAAAGAAATTAAAAGAGGTTCTCCAGTGAACACAAATGATAAGAAAGCAAAACAGCCTTATTGCTGATATGAAGAACGTTTTAGTGGCCTGGATAGATCAAACCAGTCACAACAATCCCTTAAACTAAAGTCTAATCCAGAACAAAGCCCTAACTCTCTTCAATACTATGTATGAAAGCTGAGAGAGGTGAGGAAGCTGCAGAAGAGAAGTTTGAAGCTAGCAGACGCTGATTTATGAGATTTAAGAAAAGTCATCTTTATAATATAAAAGTGCAACGTGAAGCAACAAGTGCTGACATAGAAACTAAAGCAAGTTAGCCAGAAGATCTAGCTAACATCATTGATGAAGGTGGCACAGTAACAGATTTTCAGTGTAGACAAAACAGCCTCATACTGGATGAAGATGCCTAGGAGTTTCATAACTAGAGAGTAAAAATTAATGCCTGGCTTTAACACTTCAAAGGACATGCTGACTCTCATTAGGGGCTTATGTAGCAAGTGACTTTAACATAAAGTCAATGATCTTTTAACATTCTGAAAATTCTCGAGCCTTTAAGAATGATGCTAAATCTACTCTGCCTGTGTTCTATGAAGAAAACAATAAAGCCTGGATAAAAGCATTCTGTTTACAACATGGTTTACTGAGTATTTTAAGACTACTGTTGAGACCCAGACCTACTGCTCAGAAAAATATTCCTTTCAAAATATTACTGCTCATTGACAATGCATCTAGTCACTCAAGAGCTCTGATGGAGATGCACAAGGAGATTAATGCCGTTTTCACGCCTACTAACACAACATCCATTCTGTAGTCCATGGATCAAGGAATAATTTTGACTTTCAAGTCGAAATACATTTCATAAGGCTTTATCTTCTGCCATAGATAGTGATTTCTCTGATGAATATGGCAAAAATAAATTGGAAACCTTCTGGAAAGGATTCACCATTCTAGATGCCATTAAGAACATCTGTGATTCTCAAGAGGTCAAAATACCAACATTAACAGGAGTTTGGAAGAAGTTGATTCCAACCTTTATGGATGACTTTCAGGGGCGTTAAGAATTCACTGGAGGAAGTAATTGCAGATGTAGTAGAAATAGCAAGAGGACTAGAATAGAAGTGGAACCTGAAGATATGATTGAATTGCTACAATCTTAAACTTAAATGGAAGAGGAGTTGCTTCTTATGATGAATAAAGAAACTGGTTTCTTGAGATAGAATCTACTGCTAGTGAAGATACTGTGAACATTGTTGAAAGACAACAAAGGGCTTAGAATATTACATAAATTTAGTTAATAAAGCAGCAGCAGGGTTTAAGAGAACTGGCTCCAATTATAAAGAAGTTCTACTGTGGGTAAAATGCTATCAAACATCATCACATGCTATGGAGAAATTTTTTGAAAGGAAGAGTCAATGATGTGGCAAACCTCATTATTGTCTTACTTTAAGAAACTGCTGGCCGGGCATGATAGCTCAAGACTGTAATACCAGCACTTTGAGGGGGCTGGAGCGAGAGGATTGCCTGAGCCCAGGGGTTTGAGACCAGCCTGGGCAACTTGGTGAGACCTTGTGTCTATAATAAAGTAAAATAAAAAAATTAGCCAGGTGTGGTAGTGCAGACCTGTAGTTCCAGCTACTTGGAAGGCTAAGGCTGAAGGATCACCTGAGCTCAGCAGGTCGACACTGGGGTGGCTGTGAGCATGCCACTGCACTCCAGCCTGGGTGATGGAGTAAGACTCCGACTCAAGAAAAAAAAAGAAATTGCCATAGCCACTCTAACCTTCAGTAACCACCACCCTTATCAGTTAGCAGTCGTCAACATCGAGGCAAGACCCTTCATCAGCAAAAAGATTATGACTCACTGAAGGTGTGGAAGACCTAAGCATTTTTTAGCAAGGTATTTTTAAATTAAGAGATGTATGTTGTTTTTTAAGATATAATGTTATTGTACACTTAATAGACTATAGTGTAAACATACTTTTATATGCACAAGGAAACCCAAAACTGTGTGTGACCTGAGTTATTGCAATATTTGCTTTACTGTAGTGGTCTGGAACTGAACCTGCAATATCTCTAAGGTATGCTTGTAGTCTTTAGAAATCCACCCCAAACCCTAAGTAGCTTATTTCTTCTTCCGATATCTTCTTTCCACTCTATTTTACCTGATCCTTGGGTAGAAAATCCTGGTCCCAACATTTAGGTAGAATATTCTGGTCTATGGGGAGAACACACAAGTTGCTGGGCAGAAAATTCTGGTCCTGAGGTAGAAAATCCTGGTCCTGACATATGGGTAGAATATTTTGGTCTTTGAGAAGAACACCCTGGTATCTGCGTAGAAAATCCTGGTTCTGACATTTGGGTAGAATATTCTGGTCTTTGGTGGGAACACACTGATCTCTGGGTAGAAAATTCTGGTCTTTAGGTAGAAAATCCTGATCTTGACATTTAAATAGAATATTTTGGTCTTTGGGAAGAACACTCTGGTTTCCGGGTAGACAATTTTGGTCCTGACATATGAGTAGAATATTCTGGTCTTTGGGAAGAACAAGTTGGTCTCTGGGTAGAAAATCCTGGTCCTCATATTTGAGTGGAATACTCTGATCATTAGGGAGAATACAATTGTCTTCAGGCGGAACATCCAGGTCATTGGTTAGAAAAGTCTGGTTTTGGGGTAGAAAATCCTGGGCTTCTAACACAATACTTTCATCTTCTAGCTCAATATTCTGGGCTTTCAGCATAATACCCTGAGTTTCTGTCTTAACAGCCTGGCCTTCTGTCTCAATGGCCTGACCTTCTGGTTTAACAACTTGGCACTCTAGCTCAATGGCCTGAGCCTTCAGTTCAACAGCCTGGGTATCTGCCTCAATACTCTGAGCTTCCAGCTCAACATTCTGTATTCCTGCCAAATCACACTGGATTTCCAGCAAATTTTCTTGTGCTTCTGGAGGATAATCCTGGGCTTCTGGCAGAATATCCTGAAGTTCCTCGAGATGTAATTGCTCTTGCTTTTCCTCTTCCATTACGACAAATAATGGATTTTTGAATTTTACTTTCTAAAAGTGAACATAAAAACCAAATATAGAATGTCAGGTAGTAGCAACATTACAGGTTTTCTACAAGATTTCTAAAATAATCTTAAAATGATATGGCAGTCAAACAAATTACTAGGAAAAAAATGTGAAATTACAATCTTTTTCCAACTTAACAAAACCTAAATATACAACCCAAAAACAGTACTGGCAATCCCCAGTCCAAATTATCATACTTTCTCTTATTGCTATACCTGAACTTTGCTAACAGGCTTGTCCTCGTCTTCAGAAAAGATATCCTGCTGGTCTCCCCCAAACAAATCTTCTCTCTCTTTCTCACTGGTCATAATAGATGAAAATTCCTCATAGTCAGGTTCCTAAAGAAAAAACAAACAACAATTTTAAAACACACACACAAAACGTAGCTACTACAGGTAGAAACAATGGGACTGCAATAAAATTCTAGGCTTTAGGACACTGCTAATATAATTTTAGTAGATCAGAATAGTCAAATATTATAAAATGCTTATAGCATACCCTGAAACTATGAAACATTGTTGAAAGAAATTAAAGACGATCAGGATAAATGAAAATACATCCCGTATTTATAGATGAAGAGACAACATTGTTAAGATGGCAATATTTCCCAAATTGATCTATAGACTCAAAAATCCCTATCGAACAATTATAATACTATGAGAAAAGGATTGGCAATGGTCGAAAGCTGTCAGAGGAAGGGGAAGGGATTGGGAGTTGAGAGAAACTGCTAGGGGAGGTAGGGGCATACTTCATCAACAAGGGCACTTGCATGATCAACGTTTGTATACCTAACCCTGAAATGTACCCCACATCTTTATAATAAAAAATAATTAATCAAATAAATAAAAAGGAATCCCTATCAAAATGCCCCCTGGCTTTTTTCTCTTTTTTTTTTTGGCAGAAATTAAGAAGTTAATCATAAAATGCATATGGAAATGCAAGGAACCCATAAAACCAAAACATTCTTGAAAAGAAGAACAAAGCTGAAGTTCTCATTCTTCCTAATTTCAAAACTTACCAAAAGGCTATAGTAATCAAGACAGTGCGATATTGGCACAAGAGCAAACATACAGATCAATGGAATAGAACTGAGAGGTCAGAATAAATCCTCACATTGAAAGTCAATTGAATTTTGACAAGGGTGCCAACACAATTCAATGAGGGAAAGAACAGTCTTTTCAACAAATAATAAGTTGGGCGCAGTGGCTCAGCCTGTAATCCCAGCACTTTGAGAGGCCGAGGTGAGAGGATTGCCTGAGCCTGGGGTTCGAGACCAGTCTAGACAACTTGGTAAGACCTTGTCTCTACAATAAATCACAACAACTAGCTGGGCACGGTGGTGTGCGTCTGTAGTTCCAGTTACTTGGAAGGCTGAGGTAAAAGGATCACCTGAGTCAAGGAGGTTGAGGTTGCAGTGGCCATGAGCATGCCACTGCACTCCAGCCTGGGTGACAACTCAAAAAGAGAAAAAAAGAAAACAAAAAACAAATTATGTTGGAACAACTGCATACCCATATTCAGAAGAATGAAAATGGACCATTTATTCATGGCACACATAAAAATTAACACAAAAATGTGTACACAACTGCTCATATGCATTTGTAGAAGTCAAGAAGTGAAAACAACCCAAATGCCCACCAATTGATAAATGAAAAAACCAAGTGTGGTGTATCTACACAATGAAATATTTGACAATAAAAGGAATGAGGCACTGAAACATCCACTACAATGTGAATGAACTTTGAAACATTATTCAAAATAAACAAACAACAACAACAAAAAACAGTCACAAAAGATCACATATCACATGATTCCATTTATATGAAATGTCCAGGACAGGCAAACCTATAGAAACAGAAAATAGATTGGTAGTTGCCTAGGACTGTGGTTAGGGATAGGAGAAGAAAGGGTTCAGAGTTTCTTTGCGTGACCTCATCTCTACAATAAATCAAAACAATTAGCCGGGCGTGGTAGCGTGCGCCTGTAGTTACAGCTACTTGGAAGGCTGAGGCAGAAGGATCGCCAGAGCCCAGCAGGTCGAGGTTGCGGTGGCCGGGAGCAGCTACTGCACTCCAGTCTAGGCGACAGTGAGACTCCAACTCAGAAAAAAAAAAGACTAAAGAAAATGCTCTAAATTAGATTGTGGTAACAGATGCACAATTCTGTGACTATACTAAAAACTATTGAATTGTACACTCTAAATGAGTGAATTGTTTGGCATATGAATTATATTTCAATTAAGTTGATTAAAAAATATTGGACATATAATCTTAACCCTTAATCCTATCCTTAATTAGTTTAACATCTTAATAATAAGCCATTGTCTTTCCCCTATACTCTTCACATTTCCCTACCTGATTTTCCATAAAATTCTGGTAGTGTACAGTAGTTAAAAGACCTTGATGAACCTTAAAGGGTAATTTTCCTCTTGTTCCTATATTTATTCCAGTGGATGCTGGTTTTCTAGAAAGTGCTTTCTGGGGGAATAAAACCAAAACAACAAACAAAAAACACTACAAATATAAATGGGTCTAAAGAAAGCAACATCTTCATGAGACCAAGCTAAGTTTCTGTGAAAAATCTAGAATGATCTTAATAAATTTTGGTAGTCTAACACAGAATAAAGAGGAAAAAAATGGTGAGTTCTACTTCAAACATACAAACAAATCACCCACATATCAAGCATAAGAAATGAAACAGACTGGTAGGACAATACATTAACTTTGTAAATGACAATTTGCTCTTATTTTAGCCAGTAACAATTTCAGAAGACTCATGATTTTAGTCTCATCTGACCTGACATAGTACAAGTAAACATATGTTCTACTTGTATCTTCAAATCTGGAACCACAGTAACAACCAGACAGATTCTAATGTCACTAAAGTCTACCAAAAAATGAAACCAAGGTTCAACTGGAATACAGATTGCTCTTTCTGATCGGCATATTCCCACTTCACACAATTGAGAGGTTAGAAAACTGTTCAGATTTGAGGGAAAGACTTGATATAAGTGATTTAAAAATTTAGCTAATTTCTTAGATCATTCTCAATTATATCGAGTAGATTTGTTTCTCATATTTATACCTGAAAAACACATATTATTTGGAAGCAAGTGGCCAGTCTGCATTCATCATCATCACTATAACAATAATGAATTATACTTAAATGGCACCTCTGGAGTATAAAACTGGTTTATACAAAGATGTTATCTCAGACTTAATCCTCTCTTCTGCTGGATAGTTATTTCAATCCGATCTGTGAAGAGTACTCTTTCTGGAAAAACACCAGTTGAAGGTCTGAACATGTTCCAAACAATATAAAGTATCAGTCTCCAGGATCTGATAACCCTTTTTTTCCTGGTTTATTAGAACCAGGTACTGTCATTCTAACAGTACCCTCAAGTCAATCTAATGGCCCAAACTTTAGTACTGTCAAATCCACAGTTGTATAAACAATGTCAAGAAACTAAGACTAAGAAGAATTTAGGTACAAAGGAAAATTCATCTTGAGAGCCACAAGGCCATGTTAGAAAAAGGCAACCTTGCCCATCTAGGATGTGTTCCATATTAGATACACATCCATGCCCATTTGTTTTTTAAATTTACCTATAAATTTCTTATTTGTCACAGAAGAGAAAGACATAGCTTAGTATTCAACCAACTGCAAATATCAGAGACAAACATTTTTGATGGTTGTGTTGTGAGACATAAGGATACCTAAGGAAAAAATTTAAAAAATAAAATATATAATCCAAGCTGGGACTGCACACCTGTAGTCCCAGCTACTCAGGATACTGAGGTAGAAGGATCACCTGAGCCCAGGAGGTTGAGGCTGCCATGAGCCGTGAACATACCACTGCACTCCAGCCTGGGCGACAGAGTGAGACTCTGACTTAAAAATATTTTTGAGTCGGAGTCTCACTGTGTCTGTCGCCCAGACTGGAGTGCAGTGGCATGCTCCCGGCCACCACAGCCTCCACCTGTTGGGCTACAGGGATCCTTCCGCCTCAGCCTTCCAAGTAGCTGGAACTATAGGCACGCGCTACCATGCCCAGCTAATTTTTTGATTTATTGTAGAGATGAGGTCTTGCCAAGTTGCCCAGGCAGGTCTCGAACCCGCAGGCTCAGGCAATCCACTCACCTCGGCCTCCCAAAGTGTGGGATTACAGGCTGAGCCACTGAGCCCGGCTAAAAAATTTTATGCATACACACACATACATACACACACACACACACACACACACACACATTCCAGCAAAATGTGAAGAATATGCTAATTAGAAAGTGAAATTGAGAAATAACTAAATAAGACAGGTGATAATGGCAAAAAAAAAAATAAGAAGACTAATGGTCTATTTTATTAGATGCTGCCTATCAAAACTTGAAATTAATGCTCAAATTACCTAAACACAGAAAAAGAAATGAATTTAGCATGCAAATTTGTTAAGTCTGAGATAAGTAGGCACCAAAACAATATCATTTTACAAGTATAGACTTAAGTATCCTTTTAAGTCTAGCTCTACATTTAGATTCCAATTATTTACTCTATGTTTTTACCAAAATAATTTCTTCCTTTTAAAAAAATGATAATATTGACTCCTGGCCACCGCAGCCTTGCCTGCTGGGCTCCAGAGATTCTTCCGCCTCAGCCTTCTGAGTAGCCGGAACTACAGGCATGCGCTACCATGCCCGGCTGATTTTTTGATTTATTGTAGAGATGAGGTCTCGCTGCCCAAGCGGGTCTCGAACCCGTGGGCTCAGGCAATCCACTCACCTCAGCCTCCCAAAGGCGCAGGATTACAGGCTGAGCCACCAAGCCCAGCTTATTTCACTTTTCTTCATAGCACTTATCACTTGAAATTATATTCTATATTTATTTGCATGTTTATTATATGCTTCCCTACTAGCTCAGAAGCACCTTGGGGGATCTCTGTCTATGTTTTCACCACTGTAAGTCTTGTTTCTAGAATGATGTTTGGCATTCATAAACATTTCATAAATATTTGTTGAATATATATATTTTTAATTGTGATTACATAATGTATAATTTTGTATACAACTTTTTCACTTAACTTCATAGCACAGACACTTTCTGTTGTCTTCAGATATTCCTTGAAAACATATTTTTAGAATGGATGTGGATAAATGAACATATCATAATTTATTCAAGCATTCCTCTACTATTGGATATTTAAGGTTATTTCCAATTATTTTACAGTTCTAAATTATGCTGAGATGTAAATAAATTTGTATACATATTTTTAAAAACAGTGTATTAGAAATTAATTTACCTCTTGGGTGGAAAAGCTTTTCCTTCCATCATCTGGAAACTCCGATCCTTTTTTTTTTCTCGCAATTTTAAAGGATGCCAGTTGGTGACATGCCTGTTTCACAGTTTGACTAAGCTGCCAGGAAAAAGGGAGAAAAAACAAACAAAAACAGGTTAAAGTCTTAATACCAAATGCACTAAGTGTTCCAACAGGAAATCAAGTCACTATTATTAAAAAAATGCCAGATCTAAAACAACAGGATTACTTGCAAAGGAGACTTTGATTTGATGATAGTGTTGTACAACATTATTATCATTATTCTATAAGAGACTGCACTTCATAAACTGATTTAAAAGCTGTTACTCAAATTGGTTTTTTAATAAATACTGTATGCTTTATATTAAGCATGTACACAAAAATGTCAAAACTCAAAGTCTGAATTAACACACTTAGTAATTATTGAGCAGATACATTCCTTATCTTCTATCTACCTTTTTTTTTTTTTTTGAGTTGGAGTCTCACTCTGTCGCCCAGACTGGAGTGCAGTGGCGGCTCCTGGTCACCACAGCCTCGACCCACTGGGCTCCGGTGATCCTTCCGCCTCAGCCTTCCCAGTAGCCGGAATTATAGGTGCGCGCTACCACGCCCAGCTAATTTTTTGATTTATTGTAGAGATGAGGTCTCACCTGCCCAGGCGGGTCTCGAACCCGTGGGCTCCGGCAATCCACTCACCTCAGTCTCCCAAAGGCACGGGATTACAGGCTGAGCCACCGAGCCCAGCTCTACCTTTTCAACAAGGAGTTATTTCTTCAACTGGTCCTTGTATGCTTAAATGCTTTCATCACCCCTTGCTTAGAAGATTCTATTTCTAGTTTAACTAAAACACTTTTGTCCCTATTTACATAAGCTCCTTTTCCATCCCCAACATTTGAAGACTACAGCTACTTAGATCTCCCTTCTTCCAGGGAGCCTTCGTAAGTTAGCTTAGAACACAAACTGAAACATCTCAACAGAACCAATTTGTTTCAACCACTGTAAGAAACAAGTGACAAATGACTATTAATATTAAATATACTGACTTTGTGTCCTTATCTCTGTCTAGTAATTTTGGTATGCTCCTATTTTGATTCAGTTTTCAAAGCAAAATAGCCTATTCTATATCTGATAAATCTGCAGAGAATGTTCTGTCAGGAAAAAAAAGAAATGAACTACATACCATTTTTTAGGTTAAGCACTGCATCATGTGGAGGAAATGTATATCTCTACACTACTCAGTAAAATTACGGTAAAGTCAGACCACTTCCAACACACTCATTGCAAGTTTAATAATATCATTCCTTTCTTGAAAGAAAATGATGGCTATGACTTATGGATGCAAGTAACAAATATTTTATGATTTTTACTAATAAATGAGTCATGGCTAAAAACTCTTCTCTCTCACTCCAGCCCAGAATTTTTACATCATATCACCTCTGCTTTGTCCTTGCTTCTTCCTTCTTGTTCTACCAAGAGGAAGATTTCTAGATTTGGCTAGCTCCAGAGAAGTTGAAGGGGTCAAGAAAGAGTTATCCACAATGCAAAAAGAGATACACATGGCCTGATGCAGTGGTTCACGCTTATAATCTCAGCCCTTTGGGAGGCTGAGGTGACTCAGCACTTTGGGAGGCCCACGGGTTCAAGACCAGCCCGGGAAACTTGGTGAGACCTCATCTCTACAATAAATCAAAAAATTAGCCTGTCATGGTGGCATGTGCCTATAGTTCCAGCTACTTGGCAGGCTGAGGCAGAAGGATCACCTGAACCAAGGCTGCAGTGGCTGTGAGTGTGCCATTGCACTCCAGCCTGGGCGACAGAGTGAGACGCCAAATCAAAAAAAAAAAAAAAAGAAAGAAACTTTCTCTCTGTTTAGATTAGCCTGAGTTCTTATAGCCAAAAGAGCCTAACTGAAACACTAGTCTTCTCAGTGGTAGATCACAAAGAAACTGTCAGGTTATTTCACATCACTTAAACTTTTACTACAAAAAATAATCGCTTCCAGGGTTTTAAAAAGCTGAAAAACTGGCACTGTAAAGACAGAATAAAAATTTAAGTGAGATAGTAAAAGATTCAGTGAGAAACTAAAAAGCTGGAAAAGAAATAGTAGCAAACTGAATTAGTGCATGGATAAACGAAAAGTTATTATATGATGAGAATGAAACAGTGATCGGTTGTTCTTCAATTCACCATAAAAATGCTGTTGTCAAGGGACAGCATAGAAACTAAATTCCTAAGGATAAATAGCAGTCCTAACAAAAAGAAAGAAGTGGTCCTATTTTATGTGATCACTTGAAATTTCTTCTAGGCCTACAATTCTAGTTTCTAACTTCAGGTGTCTAATCTTACCTGATCTTCAAACAAGTAGGTAATACCAAGTATTATTAAGTAGAGTGTGGGGTAGGGGTGTGGAATAAGAGAGACCCTGGCCAAATCACATTTGAAACATAGTATTGAGGTCATATTTGCGAAAAACACTGAAAAACAAAATAGTATTCAGAAGAAATCACCCAAGGCATTAGAAACATAATAGAAACCCCCAAAATGATAACTATAATCAAATACTTAAAGTGCTATTAGATGGTATTTTATTCCTTATTACTTGAGAAGGCAAAACTAAAACCAATGGATAAAAGTCATAGGGAAGAAGATTTTGACTCAATAAATTGAAAAAAATTGTTATAATAATTTCAAGCCTTCTAAAAATCAAATGAATCACCTGAAAAACTAGTGAATTGTCCAATAGTGGAAGTATTCTAACAGAAATTCTATGTATATATATATATATATAAGAGATATTATAAAAAGAATTCCTTAGAGAGAAAAATGCAGATCCAGATAATACCTTTTTTAAGCGTTTAATCAAAAGTTTAAACAAATTCAAACTTATGGAAAACTTCAAACATATATATAAGTAGACAGAATACTATAATGAACCTCCATGTGACAAGCTTGCTTTATCTCCTGGCCAATCTTGCTCCTGGCCAATCTTGCTTTATCTATAACTCCCTACTTTACCTCATCTTTCTATTATTTTGAAATATATTCCAGACATCAAATAATTTCATCCACAAATTTATTTATTTTTTTGAGTCAGAGTCTCACTCTGTCACCCAGGCTGGAATGCAGTGGCATCCTCACCGCCACCGCGGCCTCGACCTGCTGGGCTCATGCGATCCTTCTGCTTCAGCCTTCCAAGTAGCTGAAATTACAGGCATGCCACTACCATGCCCAGCTAATTCTTTTCATTTTATTATAGAAATGAGGTCTTGCCATGTTGCCCAGGCTAGTCTCGAGTCTGTGGGCTCAGGTAATCCTCTTACCTCCCACAGTGCTGGGATTATAAATGTGAGCCACTACGCCCAGCTCATCCATAAATATTTTAATATGCCAGATGAACTTTTAAAAACCTTCTTACTCCAAGAGACTATGTTTCTATAGCTCCAACACAAGGAAATTGAGAACTGTGCTAGCATTCAGAACGTAAATTACGTTCACTGTGTTTACTCAACCAGTTCTAGATAAGAGAGTTAGTGCTTGAACGGTTTCATTGTCCAGTTTCATAATGACATCTAGTGGATAAAAACTGCAACAGAAATTTTGAGATTAGGCCAGGCATGGTGGCTCATACCTGTACTAGTCTCTACAAAAAGAAAAAATTTTTTTTCAAAAAAATTAGCCAGGTGTGCCGGTGGGTGTTTGGAGTCCCAGTTACTCAGGAGGCTGAGGTGGAAGAACTGCCTGAACCCAGGAGTTCAAGGTTGAGGTAAGCTGTGATCATTCTACTACACTCCAGCCTGGGTGACAAAGTGAGACTCCAGCAAGAAAGAAAAGATGAAATGGAAGGGAGGGAAGGAGGGAAAGGCAGAAAGGGGGGGAGGGAGGGAGGAGGAGGAAAGGAGGGAGGGAGAGGGGAAGGAAGGGATGGAGGGAGGGAGGAAGGGAGGGAAGGAGGGAAGGAAGGAAGGAGAGAGGGAGGAGGAAGAGGGAGAGAAAGAGAGAGGAGAGAGAGAGAAAGAAGGAGAGGGAGGAGGAAGGAGAGAAAGGAGAGAGAAAAAGGGGAGAGTCAGGGAGAGAGAGAGTTGTTTAAGTTCATCCTCTTTCCCAAAAAAAGGGTATAAAAACTTTTTAAATTTTTTTAATATTTAAGGCTTTTCAAACCTGATTTTCTACCTAGCTAGCCTCATTTTATGTTGCTCTCCTTTATAAACTATCAATTAGAGAGATTCTATCACTTATTCCCAAACATAAAAACCTCACTTCAGGTTCTAGGCTTTTTTTAAGTGTTCCTTTCATCTCAAAAATTTTCATGAATTTATCAATTCCACTCAGCTTAGTAATTCACAACATATAGTTCAAGTCTGTCTCTTCTATGAATTCTTACTCTAATATTTCCTTGGAATTTAAAAATGTCGGAACTACCATAGTATAACTTCATTGTAAAATACAACAAACATCTCCATATTGTTATCTAGATTGGGTCTATTAGCTTTATAGCTTTGAAATTATTAGTTTTTTTATCTCTGGAAATATAAATCCATTTGTCCCATTTGACATTTCATTACTATCCCTACAGGCTTAACAAACACAGCATATTCGAAAATGCTGCTGACTTATGAGTTCTACTAATATATTATGTAGATGAAGCAAAATCCTCATTACAGAGGGATTCACAACTACAGGTACCATGAAAGCAAGAACAATGTCTGTTCTAGTTCTTGCATTTTATGCAGTACCTGGCTCAATAAATATTTGCTAAATAAATTGTTTATAATCTTAAAAATAATGATTATAAAAAAGATTACCACAAACTGAAAAATGACATGAAAAAGTCAGTTTTGGACAACAAAAAAAATTGTTTTAAAGTATTTCAACATGATAACATGTACATCTAAGGCTTTCCCCATTTATACTAATAGTAAGATCAGATAATGACCAAGCATAGGCAACTTTTATTTTAACATATTCATCATTTTCCACATTTTCTCTCTTCCTCTCACTATCCCTAGGAATATGTTTTTAAGTAAGGTGAAGAACTACCAAAGCAGACTTGAAGACTATATCAACTACATAAAAGCTAGGTACACTAAGCAGGGAGCTGATTGAACAGTCAAGGATGAGTCTACCTATGGTGGCTAATTTTTAAATATTACATATTAAAAAATGAGTCACTAAATAAAAATAACATTTTTCCAAAACTCTGGATATGTCAAGTTTACTATATTATTACTTAATCTATAACTACAGATCCATTTATTGTAATGATCAGATTAAAAGACCGAATAAGAAAAGTGAGACAAAAATAAATAATAAATGAAATGCTCCCATACATACTGTTTCTTTGCAACAAAGAATCATTTGTCTTTGTGCTCAGTATACCTGGGAAAATCCATGTTCTTTGACATGAAGCTCTTTCTGATAAGTTTTGAATTCTACTATAGCAGTATAGCATCTTTCTTTAGATAAGAATAAAGTGCCTTAACAAAAATAAATAAATGTAAATTTAAGATGTATATATAAAAAAATAAGAATTATCCCAATATTGTCCACTTTACAAAGTTTTTTAAAAAAGAGGTGATTAAAAAGTGAAGTTGCTGGGCTCGGTGGCCCAGCCTGTAATCCCTCGCCTTTGGTACGCTGAGGTGAGTGGATTGCCTGAGCCTGTGGGTTTGAGACCCGCCTGGGCAACTTGGCGAGACCTCATCTCTACAATAAATCAAAATTAGCTGGGCATGGTAGTGCGCGCCTGTAGTTCTAGCTACTTGGAAGGTTGAGGCGGAAGGATCACTGGAGCCCAGCAGGTTGAGGTTGCGGTGACTGGGAGCGGCCACTGCACTCCAGTCTGGGTGACAGAGTGAGACTCCAACTCAAAAAAAAGTGAAGTTGATTGTGATAACTCTTGACCCCTTCTTCATATCCTAGATATGTCATATCTTTAGTTCAGGAAATGGGGAAATATATCATAGATATAAAATAAAATAAATATGTACTTACAGCCTGGGTTTGTTGTTGGAATAATTCATTCTGATTTTCCTCATCTTCTCTTCCATCCCCAAGTATCTGGGAGGGCGGTAACCTAGAACTTCCAATAGCAGCATTCGAATTGTTTGAAAAAATATTTGTCCTTTTAGAAGTTAAGTGTGCTGGTAAAGACTGCATGACTCTAAAGTCTTCTTTTTCTGCCTACACAGAGGAATAAAAAGGGGATAGTAAGATTCCATTTCCATCAGTGCAATCAAATAATGTCACTAAGCAGCCCAGAAAATTTTAAATTGGGGCGCAGGGGGGGGATATGACGAGGAGAGGGGAGGCTTTAGCGGGTAGAGGAACTAACATTTATCAGACACCTCTTAGGTGTTAGTAATTTATGTTATCTAATCTAATTCTTACAATCCTGTGAGATAAGTATCATATCCTCATTTTATAGAAAAGAAACTGTACAGTGAAGTAATTAACCCAAGGTCATAAAGCTAATAAGTGGCAAAGCCAGAATTCAAACTCAAGTCTGAATCCAAAATTCTGACATTGTTTTTAACTATTTGGTAAAAGCAAAAAATTGAGTCAGAACAACACAGTTTTTCTTCATAAAAATCTACTGTCCTCACTAGCTAATCAGATCATACTAAGCATGTAATGAAAGTAATTCTGTTATTACCCATTAGCTTATCACATAACACACATACTTACCATTCAGTCTTTACTCAGGTACACTTTTGAACTTACCACTTCATAAGACTTCTGAAGCTGTTTCAAAGCTTCTTGTTTTCTCAGCCTAATTTGCTGATTTACTCGGTGTTTGACTTGCTTCTGAAAATGTTTCAAAGCTTCTTGTTTTTTCCTTAGCTGTTCCTTTAGTTCTTCTTCAATCATATATGCTGAAGTCTTTAAAGATGAAAGACAGAAAATGAACCTAAATGTCAGCAGTTTTGTCCATTAAAGTTGTTGTAACCACAGAGCAGTCAGAATGCAATCCTGAAAAAACTAATTCAGTTCTATATTAAAAATTGGAATTTGTGAATACTCAAATCAAATCTTAAATTTTTTATTGAACTCACACTAAAGGTGTCTTCACTAATTCTTAATGAACAAATTGAAACCTATCATATAAGCAAGACACATCAGATTACTTAGCACTCACCAAATATGTTCTATTGTAAAATGCCTTCATACTCATAATTATGTTCTATTTTTAACCTAGCATGCCTTTTCTCTCATCTCCATCTATTAAAGCCCGACTTACTCTCCAGATCATCTAATACTCACCTCGCCCCCAATACCTTCCACAACACTTTCTTCCTATGAGCTGTGTTATGCTACAGTACACTTATGTTACCTGAGTATCTTCCCTCTTGATCCCTCCACTAGATTATGAACTCTCTGAGGACAGAATACATATTTAATTCTCCTTTGTTTCCTCCTGAGCATATATACAGTCTTGACTATTTGGGTACTCAGTAAATATTTATATAATTGCTTAATTCCAAATATATTCTAAACAATCTGGAATTTATCCCATTTGAGTTGCTGATCTGCATTCACTTCCTCTAGGTGCTTGGAATAACAATCACAGTTATAACAACAGCAGTTATCATTATTTAGGATCTATTATGGGACAAGCACTTTAACTACATTGTATAACTCTATCCTCAAAACTACCTTTGGTAGTAGGCATTCTTACCCCTTTACGTTATAGATGAGGAAACTGGGATTCAGAGAGTTAAGTAATCTTTAGTTGTAGCTCAAACTCCTACGGCTGACTAGTAACAGAACTAGAAGTTTCTGACGCCAATATTTATGTTCCATCCTACGGTGCTTTTCTCACGACTATGTCTTTCTTTCATAAGGAGTTTTCAAATAAATAAAATCATCATCATACCTCCTACCTATTCTTTCTTTTTTTTTTGAGTCAGAGTCTCACTCTGCCAATCAGACTGGAGTGCAGTAGCATGCTCACAGTCACCGCAGCCTCGACCTATTGGGTTCAGGGAACCCTCTCACCTCAGCCTTCCGAGTAGCTGGAACTACAGGTACACGCCACCATGCCCAGCTGATTTTTCAATTTATTGTAGAGACAAGGCCTTGCCAAGTTGCCCAGGCTGGTCTCAAACCTCTGGACTCAGGAAATCTTCTCGTCTCTGCCTCCCAAAGTGCTGGGATTATAGGCGTGAACTGCTGAGCCTGGCTATTCCTTCTTCTAACACAGTAACTTCAAGTTTTAATTCTGAAGGGTACCTCAGATTATTTTACAGTAAGCCGTTAAATTATCAAACTCAGGCCAGGCGCTATGGCTCAAGCCTGTAATCCCAGCACTTTGGGAGGCTGAGGCAAGTGGACTGCCTGAGTTCGAGACCAGCCTGGGCAATACGGTGAGATGTTGTCTCTACAATAAATCACAAAATTAGCTGGGCATGGTAGCGCACGCCTGTAGTTCCAGCTACCTAGAAGGTTGACTCAGAAGGATCGCCAGAGCCCAGCAGGTCGATGCTGGGGTGGCCATGAGTGCGCCAAAGCCCTGCAGCCTGGGCAACAAAATGAGACTCTAACTCAGAAAAAAATTTTTAAAATTTTTTTAATTATCAAAATCAAGTGAATTTGTTTCCAATTGAAATAAATTTTCCAAGAAATCTGTCCCATAAGTTATTCTACAAGAGCATGGATCAGAGAAGTGGATTGTACAAGTGTCAAAGAACAATTATGTAAATAAATCCATAATAAACTTAGAGAGATATACTTAAGCCTGAACAACTGATCCAGATTAACTCAAACCTCAAATTTAAAGCATTAAGCCTCACCACTTTCTTTTACCTCCATTTTCTCTTTCTGTTCCTCTTTTGCCCATGAGATTATCAAACATCTTACTAAAGTATATGGTTGATTACAGATTGTAGATCTCAATTGTAAACTAGAGATAAGAGTGATAAGATTTTAGAAACATATTTTTCTTAGCAAATACCATTGTGCAAGGCAATGAGAACCTAAGAATACTTGTTCTGTGGGATGTTCAGAGGTGCTCAGATTCAAAGAAATTTGGGAAATACTGGTTAAACAAAGTTAAATATTGTTTTGATTAGACAATTAGGTTCTTATAGGCTTTTTGCACCCTACAGACTATCCAAGGGGGCAATATAGAATGAAGTTTTTCTCACAACAACCAAAAAACACATTTTGTATAATTTGCACATGATGGAATTGATACTTAGATTATGCAGCGTTTAGATCTCTCCTCCTCCCCTCAATGAATCAAGTTTCCTAGTACTCATGCTTTTATGTAGTTCTCTCGCATAATAAATTTTATAAGATTCTACATGCATAGCCAACAGAATAAGACAGAAGTGTTGGCTCTATGACTCCCCAAACCAAGTCATAAAGCAACTTTTGCCTAGGGTTCTTGGAGTCCTCACTCTGGGGCAAGTTAGCGTTCTATAAGAATTCTAACTACCCTGAGAACACTGTGCTGTGAGGAAACCCAAGCTAGCCAAATAGGCCTTATGAAAAAAGAAACATCTGGTTAGCCTCTAGACATTCTAGTCATCCCAGTCCTAGCAACAGATAAGTGAATAGGAAAGCCATCTTTGATATTACAGTCTTGCAAGTGTCACATGAAGAACCAAGGAAACTAACCAACAATCAGAAAACAGTCAAGCTGCCCCAGACCTGTCCAGCTATTTGAGTCACCCCAGCTGAAGCCCCAAACACTGTGGAACAGAGAAAAGTCATTAATACTGTACCGTGCTCAAATTTTTGACACACAGTACTATTTGCTTTATGCCAATAAGTTCTGGGGTGGGCTTTATAATGTTAGAGTTGTAGGGTACATATTAAGATTTGCTTAATAAGTAAATTGCACACAAGTAAAGTTTGGACTTCAAGTGAGCCCTCTCTTCCCCTAGTAGTGGACATGGTACCCAATGGGTGGTTGTGAGGGATGGCTTGTTACACAGCAAAAGATAACCAGAGCAGATTATAAAATGATATAATAGCCATATATGATGACAAGATGGTAGCATCTTTTGATGCTAGCTTAATAACTAGGGGGAGGCAGTCTGAAGTTATGACATTTTTTTTAGGAATCCTGATGGCTCCCTGAAGTTTTGGGGAGAAAAAATGAGTGGACATTCCCCCTTAGAATAGTTATGATCTTAGGTTACCCAAGTTTTAGAAGTAACTATTCAGTATTCATTCTGAGCTGACAGAGCTTCATCTATTAATAAGGGAAGATTCCAACACTAGCTATGCTAAAGCAATCAAAAATTCTAGGCTGGGTGTGGTGGTTCACACTTGTAATCCTAGCACTTTGGGAGGCCAAGGCAGGAGGACAGTTTGAGGCTAGGATTTTGAGACATACCTAGGCAACATGGCAAGACCCTGTTTCTACCAAAAAAAACTTTTAAAAAAATGTTTTAAAGAGTTCTATTAGATTCATGATCAAACTCTATTTGGCTGGAATTGATCAGAAAATTTTAAACCAGGAACATAAGATATGTTTATGCATATGTTTATGTTCCAAGACTTTAATATTTTGGTTTAATCTGTGAGAATATGAGATTCAACCTTTTCAACATAGAAAAAGCTTAATAGTGTCAAATTTTAGGCATGATGGTACTACTGACATTTTAATGTCATCATAAATGGCTGACTAGTAGCAGAATTAGAAGTTTCTGATGCCAACATGTATGTTCTATCCTATGCTGCTTTTCTCTCAACTATGTCTTTCTTTCATAAGGAATTTTCAAATTAAATAAAATCATCATCATACCTCCTACCTATTCTTTTTTGGTTTTTTGAGTTGGAGACTCATTCTGTCAATCAGACCATAGTGCAGTAGCATGCTCACAGCTACTGCAGCCTCGAACTGCTGAATTCAGGCAACCCTTTCACCTCAGCTTTCCAAGTAGCTGGAACTACAAGTGCATGCCACCATGCCCAGCTGATTTTTTAATTTATTGTAGAGACAAGGTCAATAGATGTTCAAGATGTCAATAACTTGAACAATTAAAAAGGGACGTTAGTAACTTAAATATTAAAATATCTTTGTACCAATTCTTAGTTATTCTTCTGGAGTATTTCTTACATTCATCCCTTTTCATTCCATTCTTCTACCTTTTTTTTTTTCTTTTAGAGATGGAGTCCTGCTCTGTCACTCAGGCTGGAATGCAGTGGCGTGATCATAGCTCACTGCAGCCTCGACCTCCTGGGCTCAAGCACTTCAACCATCCTTTTTCAAGACCTTTTTCCCTATTCCTTACCACTAACAAAGTTTTGATGCTATACTTCATGCTTAACTTGTTATATTTTAATTTATCTCCAGAATCCAATCTCTTGCTAACCTTTAAAAAGTTTGCAGAAATGAATCAAAACACTGATCGTGAAATTCACCTATAAATATTAAACAAAGTTAATCCCTTCTCCAAAATTTCCCATAGTTCCCTGCCATCCCTATTTTCTATAATCCTGTCAACTGCCATCACCCTACTAAATTTTCCACTCCAATCAGTCTAATTTACCCTTAGAATCCTGAACATACCTTGCTTACTTCTTACTCTGCCTATTCTCCTTAACAGAAGAATCATTCCTTCTTCTCTGATCATTCAAATTCTTCATTACACTTTCCTATGTCATATCAATTCAAAGGCATAGCTTTCTTCTTTGATTAAGCATTACATTCCTAGAACGTATTCATAATCTACTCAAACTTAAAATCCTTTTTGGAAACAGGCAGGGTAGGAATAAATCAATGAATATGTACATGCATACATAAAACAAATGCATATACCACATTGTATTGTTTAAATTATCAAACTCATGTCTCATTTCTCTTCTGAGATCAAATATATTAAGGGAACATACCTCATACCTTTCCACTCATGTTCAGCACCTTGTCTATATGTACAGAAGAAATTTTGTGCATTCCATAAATATTTACTGAATGCCTATATTTATTAGGCAGTATTTATTTACAATTAAAGTGGGAATGTGATGATAAATGAGCATTGTTCCCTATACTCAAGGAGCTCACTGCATAAGAAAAAGTAAATTATAAACCACCTAATGTAATACAATGTGTAAGCACCAAATTAAATTTGAACAAATAGCTAAGGGGTACAGTCTGGTGAAAGACTACCAAAAACCTCAAACTGTTAATTGGTACATGAAAGTCATCATGTAAGCATGCACACATGTAAACTTTGCAAGTTTCCCTTAATCTGAAACGCTCCTTCCTGCCATCTGTACTTACTGCATTTCCATTATTTAAGAACCAACACAAACTATACCCTCATCCATTCATTCATTTAACAAATACTTCCTAAAGATCTAGTACATGCTAGTACAGGAAAAAAACAAGACATAAAGGTCCCTGACCTCCATATTGCCTATGAAATTTACAGTTAAGACTTTTTCAGAATCCCAGTCAGAATTATTCTCTTTCTCCTTTATTCTATTACTTCATTTTGCCTGAATCTCCATTACAGAACTTATCATTAACTTTAAGCAGTCAATTAATGCTATTTGAAGTGTGGTGAACTGTCATCCACACTAAGTTGCAGCGAGTCTGGAAGATGTAGACAGTGCCTATATCTTTTGTATAGCAAGTAACCAAGAGTTTGTGAAGTAAATTGATAGATCCTGTCCCATGTAGATTACGGTTTCATAGGTAAGTAATACTTATTTGATTATGCCAACTGACGCTGCATCAAGTTTTGGCAAATGCTTGTTCTATAATACAAGAGCATATCTAATAATGGCAGAATAGAAAGAGCATCCTTAGACAGTTTATCTAAGCATCAAGTATTGAGAAGGCTAATAAAAAGAAAGGAGGGGGACCCGGCCATATTTAGATCAAACTAACACTCACATATGCTGGGATTTCCGAGCTATCTGGTGAGGCTGGTTCCACCCATGCCCCAACTGGGACTATAGCCGGGTTCCTCTCGGCCAGCACTGCCAATACGTCTTTGCTCTTCAGGGGGTTTAAAGCCAGGGGCGACTTTGTGGTATTTCGAGGCTTCTTGAGGGGGGCCATACTTCCCGGCATCTGTGACCCTTGGTTAGGAGAAAGGAAAGGTTTAAAAACCTTCAAACAAACTCGTTAGAAACGCAACCTCCTAACACATGAGCCACAGGCCTCTGGAAAGGAAGCCCTTGGAGGACGCAGAAGCCTGGCAGGGAGTGGAAAAACAAAAATTCCGGAGAAGAAGGACGAGGAGAGAAGGGAAGAGAAATGGGAAGAAATAAAGAAGAGGGGAAAGTGTTTAAATTGTCTTCTGGAAGGAATAGGGGTGACAGGCAAGAGAAAAAAGGATCGGCTGAAAAGAACGAAGACCGTGCCCCACAGGTGGGCAGAGCGAGGCGGGAAGGGAGGAATGACAATCGTAGCCAGAGGGAAACGGCGAGCGGGGCAGGGACCTGGGTCTGAGGCAGGGTCCAAATAACCGGCATCCGGTTACGGGGAGAAGGGCTGAACCGCTGGGAGTCCCGGGCCAGATAAAAGCCTGCTTCTGAGGCCCCGGGGGCCTACTCTCGCTGAGGGCAGCACTGGCCGGTTGGCCCGCAGCTCACCACAGACTCAAACTACTCGGGGTACAAAGCTAACCGCCTCAAGTAAACGGCCTCAAGAAAACCGCCACCTTCGGGCGGGACGTGCCGCTCCGTCCCGCCCCTCCATAGCTTTGTGCCCACCCCTTCCGGGCCTCGCGTCACCTCCCGGGACCGGGAAGGCGTGAGGGGCGGAGTTTCAAGCCTTGGTGGTTTCGTCACTTCCTTTTCCCGTCCGGCCGAGGGGGCGGGAACTGGTGAGTGTGCGGGGTAGCAGGCTAAACCCGGTTCTGGGTAGTGGCCTACCGTCTGAGCCGAGAGTGGCGGCTAGACGATCCCACCTAACTCAGGAAAAGGGATACGTTAGGCTGATGATCTGGCTGACGGGGCGGGCCAGGGGTCCCAGCTGAGGGAAGCACGGGAAAAGGAAGGAAGAGGAAGGCGAGCGCGGCAGGGAGAAGCTAAACTAACAATAAATTATACGGATCCTCATTAAGTACAACGCCGTTTCGTACTTGTGCTTCTGTTTGGGCATCGCAGCCTCGTGAGTGGTCTCCATCTGCTCCAAGTTCTGCTGTAATCCAGGGACACTTAACTTTCTCTGTGGGATGCCCATTCAGTCATTAACATACATGACTATGAGTTTTTTTATATACCAGAACTTGTGTAAGCACCTGAGATATAGCCATGAACGAAACAAATATCTCTTGCTCAGGGAATTGAATTTACAATAGAATGAGGGGATTCACGGAATAAATACATGAATAAATTAATGTGTTTGATGCTGATGAGTGCCATGGAGTGAAAGCAGAGAAAGATGATAGGGAGTGTTTAGGGATGGAGGAGATGAAATATTAGATAGGATGTCCAGAGAAGCTTCAGTGAGATACTTTTTAAAGACTTAAAGGAGCTAATGGAACAAGCCACCATAATCTTCAAGGGAGAGGAAATAGCAAATACAAATGCCCCAAAGTGGGGGCATAGCCTGATTGAGAAACGGCAAGGAGGATAGTGTGACTGGAGCAGAGTGGAAGGGGAAGAGTTCTGAGACAGGAGGTTGAGGAGAGGTCCCCAACCCCCGGGCCACAGACCCATACCTTTAGGAACCAAGCTGCACAGCAGGAGGTGAGTGGCAGGTGAGCCAGCAAAGCTTTATCTGTATTTACAGCCACTCTTCATCGCTGGCATTACCGCCTGAGCTCCCCCATATGTCAGATTAGCAGCATTAGATTCTCATAGGAGCATGAACACTACTATGAACTGCGCATGCGAGGGATCTAGGTTACATGCTCCTTTTAATAATCTAATGCCTGATGATCTGAGATGGAGCTGAAGTAGTCATGCTAGTCCTGGGAAATGGCTGCAAATACAGATTAACATGAGCAATGAGGTTTTATTGCACACCCCCACCCCTCTTGTCTGTGGAAAAATTGTCCTTCACGAAACCAGCCCCTAATGCCAAAATGCTGATGTAGAGGATTGTAAGCCAGCCACCATAACATGTTGAAATGGGGAGCCACTGGAGTGTTTGGAGCAAAGGAATGCCGTAATGTGGCTTAAATTTTTAAAAATTTGTTCTGGATGCTTTCATAAGAATAGGCTAAAAGGGTAAGGTTAGAATAAAGGATACTAATTATGGGGCTATTGAAATAATCTGGATAGTAGATTATGATGTCTTGGATCAGGGAAGTGGTGGAGACAGTAAGAAGTGGTTGGATTCTAGATATATCAGGGAGGAAAGACTTTTAGGATCTATTGAAGGTTTGAATATGGATTGTGTAAGGGAGAGAAAGAAGTCAAGAAAACTCTAAAGGTTTTAATTTGAGCAACTGACAGGTTGGAACTGTCATTTACTGAGGTGGTGAAGATAGTGGAAGGAGTAGGTTTGAAAGGGGGAAGATCAGGAGTTCATTTTGAGACTGATTATGTTTATGTTTATTTATGTAATGAACAACCAAGAAGGTAGTATTAGACAAAGTGTCTGGAGCTCAGAGGAGAGTTCTGGACTAAAAATATACATCTGAGTATTGCTAGCCATAGATTTAGAATGAGACTGGGTGGAATTATCAAGGGACTGAATATAGACAGATTTTAAAAAATAGGTCCTTAAGACTGAACCCCAGGATATTTTGACGTTACAGAGGCTGAGGTGTGTAGGAGAATGCAAAGAGATTAAGAAAGATCGGTCAGTAAGAAGAAAGAAAACCAGGAATGTGTGATACCTTGAAAATCAAGTGGGAAAAAAAGTTCCAGTGAGAGACTCCAACTCAAAATAAATAAACAAATAAATGAAACAAACAAATAAATTATTTAAAAGATTTTTTTAAAAGTTCCATTGAGGAGGGCAGACCATCTGTGTTAAATCCTGCTGATAGGTCAAATAAGATGACTGAGAATTGACAATTGGATTTAAAAATGTGGAAGTCATTGATAACTTTAAAAAGAGCAGTGTCTTTGGAGCAACTGGAGAGCAAAAGCCTAATCAGGTAGACTTAAGAGATAATGGGAGAAGGAATTGGAGACAGCAATTTTAGACAGTTTTTTTAATGAATTTTGTTGTAAAGGGACACAGGGAAATGGGTTGTTGAATATAGAAGTAGGGTCATAGGAGAGTTCTTTAAGATTACGGCATATGTTTTTTGTTGATGGGAATGATCCAATAGACAGGAGAAAACTGATGCAGAAGAGAGATGGTAAAATTTTTGGATTTACAATCAAGCGTCACTGATGGAGATACAGTCTGAGAAATGCATCATTAGACAATTTTGTCATTGTACAAACATCATGGAGTATATGTACTTACATGAACCTAGATGGTATAGCCTGTTACATACCTAGGCAATATGGCGTAGCCTGTTACTCCTAGCTACAAGCCTGTACAGCATGTTACTGTACTGAATACTATAGGCAACTGTACCACATAGACATAGAAAAGGTACAGTGAAAATATGGTATTATAATGTAATGGGACACCATCTTACATACAGCTTGTTGTTGACCAAAACATTGTTATGTGGTATGTAACTGTATGTCCTTAAGTGGGCAAGGGGGAATGGGTCTGGTGAACAAGTAGAAGACCCTGGATAGCAGGAGGGATAGTTAATTATAATAATAGTAGTGAAGTTAGAATAAACATTATACTGATAATTAGGTAACATGGTGGCAGGAGATTGTGCAAGTTCTCTTACGATGGCTCTATTTTCTTTGTAAAATAGTATTATAGTCAGCCTCCAAGATGGCCCCTAATTATTCCCACCTCCTGATGTTCACAACCTTGTACCTAGGTTGTACCTAGGTTGTTCTGTATGACTAATAACATAGTAGAAATGATGGTATATTACTTCAGAGGTTAAGTTATAAAAGATACTGGGTCTTCTCTTTCTCATATCTCTTACTCTGGGGGGAAGCCATGTACATCATTAGCAATCCTCTAAAGAGGTCCACGTGGCAAGAAACTGAAACCTCCTGCCAACAAGCCCTGGGAATGAGCTTAGGAGTAAATCCTCCTGCCCTAGTCAAGTCTTCAGAGACTGTACTCTTAGCCAACAACTTGATTGCAACCTCATGAAAGACCCTGAGTGAGACTACCCAACCTAAAACTAAGAAAATGTTTGTTGTTTTAAGATGCTAAATTTCATATGCTAATTTGTAAGAGAGCAAGGAAGTTGAAGATTAATACAAAGGAGTAATTAAGTGATTGACCTTGGGACTTAAGATAGGTAACGAGGGAAGACAAGACAAGTAGAAGATAAGGGACAGTGAAAAGTTGGTAGGGCTAATAGGTTGTAGGTTCTCATGAGGATTTCAAGTTTGTTAGAGCAGAATACTAAAAGAATGTGCTAGCGAGAGGTGGTAGTCTGAAAGCAAGATGTTTAAAACAAGAGTATGACGGATCTGTGGTTATTGGTGCTATCAAAGTCTATTGTATGACCAAGTGAGGCAGTGAGTGCTGAGGTAGGTGAAAGAGCAAGATCATTGGAGAAAAAGAGGTCACAGAAATGAAAAGCCAGAACATTGAATGGATTATCCATGAGGATATTGAAATCACTGAAATATATGCCAAGAATAGCATTGGTGACAGCTAGACCTGGAGATTGGTAAATGAGTATAACTTGGAAAGCAGTGCATAGTATAGTCTGATGATATGAGATTCAAAGAGAGGGGGAAGGTTAAGAAAAAGGGAGGAGGTGATTTAGAAATAGCACAGAGGAGCAAAGTAGCAAGAAGGCTACCCATCCCACCTTCACCTAGTAGGGTAAAGAACAGAAAACAGCTAACACTTGAGAGGGCCAAAGGGTGTGTATGCCCACCTCCATACACACACACACACACACACACACACACACACACACACACACACACACACCCTAAAACTTGGAAGAAGTGTTATTAAGTAGTTGCTTGCTCTTGCCAACCCTCTACCTCAAGGTCTATGCCTCCCACTAACAGCTGGGCCAGTGGTTTCATAAGAATGTATACTCTCTAGATATCCAGAGAATGCATAGCTCAGGCCCTGCTCCCGTTCTCTGACCTCTTCAGCAAGGCTTATGTTCTATATGGCCACAGTTGGATTCTTAGCAAGGAAACCGTTTGCTTAGAATTGTCTTTCTTCTTCAGAAACTTAAAAGAATGGGTGTTGCTGGCACCGGAGTATTGAGGTCCTGCTCCAGAGAACTCCTCATCAGAGTTGGATATAATCCTCTTTCTGTGTCTGGGGGATCCCTGGTCATGTCTGCACAAAGCCTCGAGTCACTGGGTTGTTGGCAGTAGTCCACCCCACACAGAACTGATTGTTTTATGAGCACGAGGGAGCAATTTCTGTTTGGTCACTACTCTCCTATTCATGGCTGGCTGACTCACACCTTTAACAAATTAGAAAACTTTGTCACATATCAGTCCTTAGGGCCTAGCCTAAATAGAACCTATATAAAAGTGAGAAACCTGCCTATTCCCACTCTTAGGGGAACTGGGTGTTGAGAACTCTGCCTCAGGCAGCTGAGTTGTACCCACTGTCATCCCCCTCCCCAAGTTTGAGCTGGATTTTCCCCAGCTGACACTTCTTTGGGTTATTTCTTG